TCCTCTCTGTAAAGTAGCCAAAATCAGAGATGAATGATTTCCTGATTGTATTAGTCATACACTACAGATTCATTCCAAATATCCACTGCTTGTCCTGTGTTATAGATGTTAATATATTACAAATTTAATGTGAGCTTTTGTCAAAGACAAAGGGAGTATTTAGTATGTAATATTTAAACCTAGAGCATCTTCCTTAGCAAAAGCCAGTTTATCATTGAAATAAACATCCAAACAAGTTGTGTTGCTGTAATGATGCCTTTAAATAAAAGTCACTCTGAATAGGAGAGATAATACCCAGAGAGGGAGAGAAGCTATATGCTGATGACTGTGGGGCAAGCTTACATACAGCCTTTGGTTGGTTGCTGATGCATGGAGGGGATTATAACCATGGCAATGAAAGGATATACGATAGGATAAATGTAAAGCTAATGTTTTCCTATGTAAACTATCACATAATTCACAATAAAACATTTTTTAATTAAATTTTTGGAAAACATGTATCTGCCACTATGAACTTGAGGGCTTCCCTAGTACTTAGCAATTTTTTCTAGTAAAAATGGTGATGATGATGACAATATGAACAACTATAATTTTTTGATAGCCTAGATACCATGTAAATGATCTACTAAATTCAATGAGCCAATATTTTATATATGGCCAATGCATTATGTTAGAAAACCACATATGGGTTGAAGATCTGCACAAAACACAATAGATCAATGAATTTTAATGTAAAATAATAGAAGAAGCTCTACTTTCAAATTACATAGTTTCAGATTTCACATCACATATAGCTTTAAGAAAGTCTCCCTTGTCAAGTTTAAGTGTAGTATAAAAAGCAATATTCAAACTTATCTGAAAAAGTTATTAAGAGACCCATCTCTTTTGCAATAATATAGCTACATAATGCCAGACCCCTTCATATGCTTCAATCAAAACACTATATTTCAGTAAACTGAATGTTGAAGTTATATGAGAATCTGGCTATTTAGTAAGCCAGACAATGCCATTCTTTTATGTTTTTATTTTGAAAAATATAGTTATTCTTTCTAAAACTATTATTTTTGTTAATGTGTACTGGATTTACTATTGTTATTTTAAAGTAAACAAATAATTTTGAATTTCAATAACAGAAAAACACAATACTCGGTCTTGATTGTTGTTGTTAAATGTCAAAAAATCAGTTCCAACTAATAGCAACCCTTTATAGGGTTTCCAAGAAGTGCCTAGTGGGTTTGAATAGCCAACCTTGTGATTAGCAGTCCAGTGCTTATAGCGCCACCCCAGGACTCTCATAGGTCTTGATAGTAACAAAGTAAATTTGATGTGGACACTGTCTTCAAGGATTATCTATACTAATGTGAGAACAAATGGGTACACAAATAATTAACAGTTGCTATTGAGTCAACATTGGTCACAGTAAACCCATGTGTTAGGGTAGAATTGCACTCCATAGGGTTTTCAATAACTGTGAGCTTTCAGAAGTAGAATTTCAGGCCTTTTTCCAAGGGATTCTGAATGGACTTGAACCATCGATCTTTTATTTAGCAGCTGAGCAAGTTTATTAATCATTTGCACTACCTAGGGACTCTACTAAGGGGCTCTGGTAGCATAGTGGTTACGAATCGGGCTGCTAACCTCAAAGTCGGCATTTCAAAACTACCAACCATTTTGCGGAAGAAAGATGAGACTTTCTGCTCCCGTAGAGATTTACAGCCTCGGAAACCCTGTACAGGGTTACTATGAGTCAGAACCAACTCCACGGCCCTTAAGCACCACCACCATCACCACCACCAGGGACTCTACTGGA